AGGGGGGGGGGGGGGGAAGTCCCAACTACACCCTGAATTTTGACACATGGGTTATTTCAGGCACATGTCAAATTTGGCTTAGGGCCCAAAGGTCCAAGCCTGCTATCTACACATCTCTCATCCCGATTCAAAGGTAAACACTTGCACTGTTCTGGTATGCAAAAAAAACCCCAACCTATTTTCACTGGTATCACCAGAAATACAGTATCCTTGGGAGGTTTACCATGCTATTCACCCCTTCCCTCAACATACTGGCAAACATCTTTGAGAAACCAACTCAGCTTGAAGTCTCTTGAAGCTTGTAGCTGTTACAGCAATATTTTCAAACAAAATTTGACATGGAAATAGTGAGTGAGTATACATCAAACTGTGAAGCAATTCCAGGAGGTTCAGTAACGCTGGTTTGTCCATTGAGAAGCAGTTGCAAGCACTGAAGAAATGGTTCTCTTGTTAAAGCTCCAGAGAGACAAAATTCCTGACCACAAGCCTTGCTACATAACACGAAAAACAAAATAGTGATTCAAGAAAAACATGCCCTGACAAGAATGGCAGAGGTTTGGACTTCTGAAGAGCTATTCTTCTCTTAGGAAACACATGTCTTAGACACAAACTTAACCTATGTGGAGCCCTACAGAGATTTTTCTTTAACAATAGAAAAAGGAATAAAAGCCTGCAATATGACTTGCAACGTCATCAGCTCATACTGACACATTAATTCTGGCGCTGAAGATGGGAACCAAGGGGTACATTTAATATACGGGCATGTTGTTACACACGTGCACAATCAAACTTTTGCCTAGCTGTGAGACAATCCCCATGACCCTCCTTTGGGATTGAAGGCTTAATGTTTAACTCATAACCCATCCACCTCAACATTCAAAAGCTGCATATCGTGGTGTCTGCAATTAAACACATTAATAACATTAACTTGGAACTTATCTATTATTGTATCATCAGCAACATGTAATTCTATTAAAGTCCTTGTCAGATTTCGCTCTCCGGATAGATTAAGCTCAGCTCTAAGTGCTTCCTAACAAACCCCTGAAAATAAAGACAGAGATATTAAACTGCTACCAAAAGCAACGCTGTAACACAAGAGAAAAAGCTATACGGTATTTCTGTCACCAACGCTCTGGGCTGTTTCACTATGTACAAGCACAAGAGAAAACATTTTTCTAAATCTAATGAAAAAATAATAAAAATTTTTTAAAAATCATATTTTAAAGCAGCTGGAGATTAATGCTAACCAGTTGTAAAATGACCCTCTAGAAGTGGAACTGCAGCATACGCAATTTGAAAAATATGCTCCTATCGGTCCAGCTTGGAAGAGGACTGAAAAAATAAATATGGATATTTCAGTAAGAATTAAAGATACAAGGAATTCTAAGGAGCTCCTCAGCGTGTTTAGTGATGTCTAATAATGTAATGGGGAATATCATGCCAAATTTGGGGAGTACCGTATACTTTATCCACAAACATCAGTGTTTGGGAAAGAAGGTTGGCTGTAACCACAGTCTTCCTTCCCTACTTAACAAGGAAGGAAAAAGTTTCTCGAGAGTCAACAGTGCACTGAATCAATCTGTTGACAAATGACTCGTTATAGACACGGCGGGGGGGGGAAACACGGGACACACAGAGCCTTAGAAAATAACCAGTTATAAATGTAGGTACATACAAGTCTTCTAAATAAACTTCTAAAACCATCTACAAAGCCTCTGGTCAAGCGCTAGTTCTATTGGATATGGTTTAGGGCATTAAAAAAAAAAAAAAAAGCAGCTTTACAGCTCTTCTTGAAAACTATCCTGCCAATTACAAGGCTGATCTTTATGAACCTCAGTCAAATAAATAATCAAGGAAAAAAAAAAACCAAAAAAACCAAACCAGCCTTACTGACTAAGCCTAACTTCACAACCAACTTTTGGAGCCTGCTGCTTTAACACACAGTGCACCTCTCCACATCATCCCACTCACTCCTGTCTGTATCAGCAACGTTTTTTTGCTTCCTATCTACAGAGTCCAGCCCAAGGGATACAAATACAAAGCCCGAGCCTTACAGTCACACACACCTGATTCTCCGCAGCAGTAAGTGGGGAACCCCAGTTTGCTTTGAAGTTAAATCAGTACAAAGGAAATGAAGTGGAAATAAGAATTATTGTTTAAGCAGGCACTAACACCTCTGCTCATGATGTGACCTCGTTGTCTGAATTATGATGAGTTCTAGTGTCTAAGGCTGAACAAGTATGCTGAAAAAAATAGGGAAGTCTGACCATATCAGGGTTAGAAAACATGTCCCATAGTTAGATGTTTTAAAAAAAAAAGCAACCCGAGTAATACGAGTAGAAGAACGGAAAGCAAAGGCAAGAAGTTCCAAACTAGTGAAGACATAACTAGGAAAGATGGTTCAGTTCTAGTCTAAATTTAGACTACAGAAATAAGGCACATGTTAAAATAAAGGCTAATAATAATTGGAAGAAACTCATGAAGCGATGATTCTCCTTCACCATGAGGCCTTAATTTAAAAAAGGGTGCGATACAAGGATACGATTCAATTCGAGCAGTGTTCGGTGAAGTCCTGCTGCACCCCTACTCTGGAATTCTGCCCGGGTGATCAGAACGGTCGTACGCGTGGCTGGGCACACATGCAGAAATCACCATCGCTTCCCACGTATACAT